GGTGTATACAAAATCAGAAGAAAGAAGAAGAAAGAGCACGAAACACAATGCAAAATTGCATAGTCGCATAGCCAAAAAGCTGGTCTTGTTAATGAATGTTGCTCAGCTGCCTGCTTGTTGTTGCTATCACGCTATTGCCGTTTCCATGCCGTTGCCATTGTTCGCTGAACACTGCATCGATATCAGCGGCAGCACCAGCAGCTTTTCATGGTCGCTGATTCGGCGCATTGTAATTAGCTGGCGCGCAGCTTACGTAGCACTGCTCTGCGGCTATAGCTGCCGCCTCTTCATCAACGCAACACGCACCACCTCCCCACTGCTGTCAGCCTGCAACTACGATTTCTAGCCAACAGCAAGCCTCCTGCATTCTTTCGCTTTCCTTATTCGCTTGCTTCCTTCAACTACCCATAGCCACTGGTTTTTTTGTTTGCTAAGTTTTCCTACTTACACTGGCTGTTGCTTTTCACAATTTCCTTTGTTTCGCCTTATTCACCTAAGTGTTTACATATTTATGTAGTGTAATTTATTTACTTGCGAAATTTCCTCTTATATGTAAAAAGATCTTGACTCTCTATACAACTGGTTGTGCCTTAAAAAATTGAAGTTAAATGTAGATAAGACTAAGTTCATGGTATTTTGCAAAAACCAGAACATCATACGTAATAACGATTTAAACAATATAACCCTGAAGATAAAAAACAATATAATTCAAAGAGTAAATACAATGAAGTACTTAGGAGTTTTAATTGATGAAGACTTGAATTTTGGAGAACATATAAATTATCTTGAAAGAAAAATTGCGCAGAAAATAGGATTCATGTACAGAACATGCAAACATATTAGTCAACATCATAAAATACTTGTGTATCGTTCAATTATTGAACCGCACTTTATATATTGTCCTACAATTCTGTTGATAGCGAGTGATACGCAAATTAAAAGACTACAAATACAACAAAACAAGGCAATGCGATTTATATTAAAATGTCCCCCAAGAACATCTAAAACTATAATGCTGAATCGGTTAAACTGGCTGAGTATAAAACAGTCAATAAGCTACTTCACTTTGAAATTTATACATCATGTAAGATTAGGAATGCTACCGAGTTACATTCGCAATAAAATACTATATAATCACGAGATACATAATTATGGAACTAGATCCTGCAATAATATAAGACTGCCTTTAGTAAGAACAGAGTTTGCAAAGAATACTTTGGAATACACAGGGTACAAAATGTACAATGAACTACCTACTGCGATAAAAGATTGTGAAAATATTAATAAGTTTAAAATAAAACTATTTTTATATTGTAAAACACTGAATATTTAATGAAACAAATGTTAACTTAACATCAACTAGGTCTTAAAGACCGTAATAAATAAATACTATACTATACTATACTTATGGGGCTTTATTTCCGATAAGACCAGGAATTTCCTATAAGTGCGCGGAATTTTCGAAAAAAAAAGCGAATAGTTTCAAAAAAACTTAGAGTTTCTTTTATTTAGCGCGAAAAATCCTGTAAACATCACTGCAAACCCGAAAAGGTCTGAGAAAATTCTGAAAAATTCCACATAAACCGATACGTACCGCAAAATCTGGAAGTGGAAGAAGACCAAAAAAAAATCCCGAAAACACCGACAATGTGCGAAAAGTCACGAAAAGTTTAGAACATCTCAAAAAAAAAATTACAATTTGGTACATCCCGAAAATCTGTGAGAATCATTCTAATAAAAAATTATCAAAAGAATTCAATACGTGTTGAGGAAACCCTGAAGATAATACAAAAAATATCAAAAAGCCGACTGAATTAAAAAAAAATGAAGAATATTCAAAAAGTACCGACAAGTGTTAAAAAAGTAAAATTCAGAATTTTTTAAAATATTTTTCCAGAACTGTCCTGGAAATGTCTGAATAATACAAGGGAAATGACAATAAGTAGCGAATTATTTAGAAAAATATTCCAAGAATTTCTAAAGTATTACAAAAGACAGTGCACGAACTTCGAAAAAACTAATAGTAACAGTAATTTTTATTTTGGTACTTCTTCTATCACCTCGTATGAACTCGCTTTGTATTTTTATATTAAACAACCAAAAATGTATTTAACGTGGATAAAATATTTAACAAAAAACCTATACCTAAAACTGGATCCGAATCTCGGCATCCGTGATCGAATGAAACTCTATTCGAAGCGAATGAAATAAAATTACAGTTTTTTTTTCTCAAATATATTTTTAATTGAAAAAGCGAATTCACTACCGAATGCTCAAAAAAAAAATTTTTGTATAAAATTTGATTCAATCACGGATGTCCTAATTCGAGCCCTCTATTAATTTAATTGGAGCGAAGCTCTAACAAATATTCTCCATCAGAGTTAACTTTTTATTTTTATTTAAGGTATGTTTGAAGACAAAATATGTATGTATGTATGCTGAATTAAATCTCTCTGCTTTCTTTCCGCAAAATATTGGTAGATTTTTAGCCTTTGCTGGTAAAAATGGTAGAAAATATAATAGAGCTAAAAAGTTGTTATATCTACCAATTAAGTAGTAAAGTCCGTGACGACAGTATCTCTAAAAGCTCCAAAAATACCGATAAGCGCCGAAGAATAATTGAAAAATATCCAAAAATTATATCTACTGAAATTAACGACAACAGTTGGAAAGTATCAAAAAAAAAGAAGAAAAATTCCCAGTAATCAAACAAGAATAATAAAAATGTCTAAATAATACAACGGAAATGTCCATAATGGCCCCATGGCTTTGAAAAAAATCTGAAAAATTCTGAAAATATTTCGAAAAGTTCTACAAGAATTCCGAATTTCCTCAAAAAATTTTAAAAGTCCATAAAAATCCTGACAAAGACCTTAAAATTTTTTAAAAATAGACAATATTCGAAACGCCCCGAAAATAGCAAAAACTTTCAGAAATTACTGAAAAGAATCCGAAAGAATCACACCATTCCGAAATTATCTGAAAATATTCCGGTAAATTCGAAAAGGGTAAAAAAAAACCAAAAAAGGCGAAGACTACCGGAAATTATCAAAAAAAAAATACCGATAAATTTCGACGGTTCCGAAAAGTTTTAATCACTGCAACAAAAAATAGAAATAATACTCAAAGCTTCTCAAAAATATAATGAAAATTCCTATCAGTGCGAAAAAAGTTTCTAGGTACCCCAAAAAGGTCTTAAAAATTACAACAGCTTCCCGGAAAATTCAGAAAACATTTTCCAAAACCTCCAAAAAAATTTTAAAATTTCCGAAAAATCTTGAAGAATTCCCAAAAAATCCGATAACACCAAAAAAGAAAAATCGAATAGACTTAAAAAAAAAATACCGAAAAAAGCGGCAGTCCCAGAAATTAATGGAAAATATACAAAAAAAAAAACGATAATTGTCGAAAAATTCAGAAAGATTCTGCGAAAACACAATTCCAAATAACTCCAAGAATTCTGGCAAAATTCTCATAACCAACAGCGAAAAAACCTTCACAAACTCCCTAAAAATCATGTGCAAAAAAATTCCAAAAAGTCCTGAAAAATATTCTAAGAATTCCAGCTTGATCCATATAATCCGGAAAATTCTCAAAAACTATATTAAAAATCTCGATGAGTACTGAAGAATTCTTGTAAGTTTTAAAAACTTCTTAAAAAATAAAAATATGTTGACCAAAATATATTGTTATTGGCGTTAAATGTTTTAAACAGAGTTGCCACCTACTTATAATAATTTTTTATTACCATATATGTTGAAGAAAATGCATCTCTATAAAATTCGCAGGAAAAAAGTAACTTACATAAATACGGAACTTATTTTTGAGAAAGGCTGCCACCTAAAAACAAAATCTGAAAAAATTAAAATTTTTTAGCTAAGTAAAATATTGCAATTTGTACACTATATCAAGTTTGTTTTAACAAAGAGTTTTGCGTCAAAATTTTATTTTGAAGATACATGTGTGTAGTTGCCACATAGCGGAAAAATTAATATTATAATAATAACAATATTTTGGCGGTAAAACATTTGCTTCTTCTCCGATATGTGGTGTGCGTCTTATTGTTGTTACACAAACAGCGAATGGATTTTATGAAAAGCGTTTTTCATGGCGAAAATACACTCAGAGGTTTTCCCTTGCCCGCCGAGGAGCGACCGCTGTTACAAAAAAAAACCAATTTTAATTTAGTTGTTGCTCGGGCCAGGCAACGAACCTAGTATGCACCTCTAATTACTCAGACACAGTGGTCGAAGAAAAAATTAAAATTCTAAATAAATTCTATATCCAAGAACAATATTGTCATATGGGTATATTAAAAAAAGGGTTTTCAATAATTTTTTTCCAAAACATTTTGCTTGGAATATGGTTTTATCAAAAAATAAAAAAAAAATTATTAACTACTCCAAAAATTGCTGTACGATTACTATTTGAAAATTATGAAACAAAAAAATTGCGTTTAATAATTCCGCTTTTAAAATATCGGTGCTACCGATCGGAAAAAATAAAACAAAAAAATAATATTGAAAGAAAACTCATAAAAATAAATCAAATAAGGTGGCCAGCTGCCAAAAAATTATAAACAAAATGGCATAACTAAAGTACGTGAAATATAAAAATGCGGTTATCATACAACATTATTGATTATATTTTAACTAAGAATATTTTTGATAGAGCTACCACCAAAAAAAAATATTTCATTTGCAAATAATATAAAAACATCAATTTTTCTTACACACGTTTTTGATATAGTATTTTTTTTTTATTTTATTGAGCACATTATGAAAGTACATATCGCTTAAATGCTAAATATTGCACAAATTTAATACAATTTGTTTCACTCAAATGTTATTTTTTAGTCTTTATTAAATGATTGTGAAAGATAACTAAAAAAAAATGTACATGACAAAAAAGTGGCAAGGACAAGAAATTGAACAAAATGAAATTATCTAAAAGATAAAATGGCATAGAAAAATTGCAGAAAATAAGCACATGAAATAAAAAATAAATCAACTTCAAATACAAAAATAGTGATGCGCAAAATTTATGAAATATTTATACAAAATGCGAACACGGGCTTTTGATTTGTGGCTTTTCTAGATTTTTCAACGCATTTTTTCTTTCAAATTAGCAAATAAGATCTGAATTGAGCAACTTTTATTCTGCTATTTTGGCAAGCCTGTAGCTTTTTTTCTCTTATTGGCATTGGAACCTAATGCAGTAGAACGCGATTATTGAACTAAATTTTCAAATCGCTCAACATTTTTACTATAACGCCAACAATTAAAGAGTTATCTCTCTCAAGTAGCGGACAACAAACTGCAGACTAAAAAGGACTTTTCAAATTGAATTTTTAATTTTTAAGCGTTTTGAGCCACTAAATTATGTATTAAGGAATACATTTTTTTTACGATTCTGCAATCGATTTCCTTAAAGATGAGATGCAAATTATGTATATTTTCTTGCGAATTTATGTTACAAAATATGAGAGAACTAGGAATTCAAGGTAGCTAGGCTTATTCGTTATACGTATGTATGTACGTATGTAAATGAGAAACTGGCGCAAAATGATGTTGAAAAAATTATTTCAGTATCCCATGCATTTCGCATTTTGTAGCATATTTCACGGCGCGCACACCGCATCGAAGCGCATCACGCGCAAGCATCTCTCCACACGCGTCACCTCCGCCTGCCTAACTCTTCACCACCGTCGTCGTTTTGTACTCCACAGCCGTACTCATTTGGGCGCCCAAATTCTCACGCACGAAATTGCGTATCTTCTGTAAGTGTTCATCTACTTGCGCGACACTTGGCGCCGCAGTGGTTGGAGGCGTTGTAGCGCCACGCTTACGATTGCCGCGTCGTCGCGCGGGTTTTGCGCTATGCGCGTGATAATTAAATGGACGCGGTGTGACTGCAGCCGATTGTTCATTCTCGGAGGCGGCATGCGTGGGCGCCGCATCATAGTCGATTTGCTGCTGGTGCAGCTCTGGCTGCTGATACTCTTGCTGCTCCAATTCCAGTTGCTCGTGCTGCTGTTCGTGCAGCAGCTGCGCTTGCAGTTGTTGCTGGTGGTGGTACGCTGCTGCTGATGTGCTGGCATGGCGTTCGAATGGCCGTATCGATGGCAATTTATAGCTACCGGCATAATCTGCGGCGCCTTTCTCGCTGTTGTGCGTGTAAATGACTTTGGTGTGCGTTTGGCGTGGGCTATTCTCGTTCAGCGCTTCGGCATGCGCGGCAGCCAACTCGTGTTGCTGTTCATGCTGTTGCAGCGATTGCTGTGGTGCTGCCGGTTGGTGTTGGTGGTGATGTTGTCGGAGCTCCTGCTCCTCCTCCTGCACATAGATGGGCTGGTGTTGCAACGACGCCGCGTGCTGCGCCGCATGCCCATCGTAGGCGCCCTGCGGCGATATCGCCATAAAGTAGACATTTTGGTAGTGTGTGCTGCCGCCATGCGCGCCAAATTGTGCTTCCGGTACGTAGTAGTACTGCGGCACCGCCGGCTGCTGCGCGGTGTGTACAAAGTATTGTTGCTGCGGATGTTCCGCTTCAATTTGCTGCTGTGGCACATATTCTACTTCTTGCTGTTGCTGCTGCTGGTGATGTTGATGCTGCACCAGATGATGTTGCTGCAGCNGTTGCAGCGATTGCTGTGGTGCTGCCGGTTGGTGTTGGTGGTGATGTTGTTGCAGCTCCTGCTCCTCCTCCTGCACATAGATGGGCTGGTGTTGCAACGACGCCGCGTGCTGCGCCGCATGCCCATCGTAGACGCCCTGCGGCGATATCGCCATAAAGTAGACATTTTGGTAGTGTGTGCTGCCGCCATGCGCGCCAAATTGTGCTTCCGGTACGTAGTAGTATTGCGGCACCGCCGGCTGCTGCGCGGCGTGTACAAAGTATTGTTGCTGCGGATGTTCCGCTTCAATTTGCTGCTGTGGCACATATTCTACTTCTTGCTGCTGCTGCTGCTGCTGCTGGTGGTGATGTTGATGCTGCACCAGATGATGTTGCTGAAGTGGTGCTGCATGCTGCGCATTCACTTTTCCCTTGTAGCCTTGGTAGACCTCATTGATTCCCGGATACGCAATCGGTTGTGGAGTAGCGACCACTTGATGCGCATACGTCACTTCAGGAGAATAGGCATGCTCCTCTTCTGCTGCAGTTAGCTGCTGAGCGGTATGCTGTCCATGCGTTGGCGGTTGCAGCTCATGCGTTGGCTCAGCGTACGCTTGCGCTGGTGCGACCGCTTGCTGTTGCTGCTGTACTTGTTCTTCGTACAGATGTGCTTGTTGTTCGTGCTGCTGCTGTTGAAGCACTTGGTGTTGCTGTTGTTGGTGCTGTACATGTGACTGATGGCTCTGCTGCTCGGCTTCTTCCAATATGCGCAGGTATTGCGCCGCGCGTATCTCCAAATACTGCTGCAGCAGCGTTTGAAGATGAGAGGCATACTTGGTGGGACCGGGTATGCGCAAGACGATGACGGGCTCCTCGTAGCCGCCATGCTGTGCCTGCTGCGTTGTCGGTTGATGCGGATGGCGCGGCACATCAAGCACGTTTGGCGGCTGTTCTGCGCCATGTTCCGGTTGCTCCACATAGCTCTGCGGCTGAAGCTCATATGAGTAGGAAGGCTCAATGCTGACATCCGTCTTGGGTGGATAGTAGCCAGGCGCATCGGCGGGTATGTTCTGTTGCGAGTAAGGATAGAACACAAATTTGGGCCGCTCATAATGGTAGCCGTTGTGCGAAGAGTAGGCGCCATAGCTGCGAAAATTAAAAATAGGTTAGTAAATATCTCCAACTCAACTTCCATCCAGCACCACCTTCTGCTTACACTCACCCCAACTCGCCGTCAATGGTGCGCTTGCTATTCTGCTTCTCGCTCTCGGTGGTGTTGTCGTGTTCCACCTTGATTTTGATCTTTTCGCCATGCAGTTGGAATTGCTTGTCCAACTCTTTGATGAATTCCAAATCGTCAGCTGGTAAGTCCTTGAAGGCGGCCGTCACATCCGTTACTTTTTTGCGTTTGCTTTTCGAGTTTGACGTTGTCGCCGCGGTCACGTAGGATGTGGGCGTTTTCGTTGGTCGCTTCTTCAGAGACTGTACCTTCTTCGGGTAGCTGGCTTTTTCGGTAGTTTTTGTGGTATTATTGGAGCTGAAGGTACTATTATGGCTAATCTTCAAAGCTGCTTTGGTGTCCNTAGTAGCCAGGCGCATCGGCGGGTATGTTCTGTTGCGAGTAAGGATAGAACACAAATTTGGGCCGCTCATAATGGTAGCCGTTGTGCGAAGAGTAGGCGCCATAGCTGCGAAAATTAAAAATAGGTTAGTAAATATCTCCAACTCAACTTCCATCCAGCACCACCTTCTGCTTACACTCACCCCAACTCGCCGTCAATGGTGCGCTTGCTATTCTGCTTCTCGCTCTCGGTGGTGTTGTCGTGTTCCACCTTGATTTTGATGTTTTCGCCATGCAGTTGGAATTGCTTGTCCAACTCTTTGATGAATTCCAAATCGTCAGCTGGTAAGTCCTTGAAGGCGGCCGTCACATCCGTTACTTTCTTGCGTTTGCTTTTCGAGTTTGACGTTGTCGCCGCGGTCACGTAGGATGTGGGCGTTTTCGTTGGTCGCTTCTTCAGTGACTGTACCTTCTTCGGGTAGCTGGCTTTTTCGGTAGTTTTTGTGGTATTATTGGAGCTGAAGGTACTATTATGGCTAATCTTCAAAGTTGCTTTGGTGTTGCTGTCGGCAACAGTGGTTATTAGCACTGTGCTTGTCTCATCGCTTTGTTTTGCTGTAGTTTGCGATTCGTCCTGCTTAGCGCCATCAGCTGGTTTGCTGATAAAAAGCAATGCCAAAAATAGGGGTAGCTGTAAAAGGCGAAAAGTGAATGAATTAGCAGAGAAGTCATAGTTTTGTACTGATAAAAATACTGACAACGAGACAATCAACTGCTTAAATTATGTAATCAATTAATTTTTAATAAAAAACTCTCGCCATAAATTGACTTTCTAAAAAATTAAAATGGGAACTATGTTCAATTCACATGTATGTTTTGAAATCTTTGTTTCGGTCATGTTCACTGGTGCACTTCTGCAATTCTCAACTGGCTTAATAAAATTTATTTGACTTATAACACAAATTAAATGAGGATGTTAAGGCATTTCCGAAGATACTATGAACCTTTGAGGAGAATGCAAACCTCAGGCGAGTACTAAGACAGATATCTCTCAAGAAATGTTGGAGCAGACGAATGAAATGTAAGTTTATCCGAGAAACTCCAGCTGACGGTGGCCATGAATAACGTAATTTTAATGAATCTAACTCCGAAATAATTTTATTACAGGTACAATTTACAAAGAAAATTAAGATTTTACAAAAATGATAAAATTTATTGAAAAATTTCAATTTATAAAGAAGTTATATTAATAAACCAAAAAGTTCAAAACAGCAATGTGATAAAACTTTAAATTTAGAGATGTAAAATTTACAAAGAAAAAATTAAAATTTACTCAAAATGTTATAGTTAAAGAAAATTTAATTTGAAAACAAAAATACATCAAAATATGCTTATTTCATAATTTTTTTCCTACGTATAGGTAAGGGCCGTGAAGGGGATTTGATTTAGAAAAAGATTTATATTTTTTTTTGATATAATCCAAATTATAATATATCAACAGATTTGACCCAGAAATAATTTTTCTTAATGGGGCTACCTCCATTTTTTTTTGTATTTTTTTAAATGTAATGCGGGTTTGATTCTCAAATAGACATTTTTGAGCAGGGTTGCCAAACAACTTTGATCAAGAGGCATTTTTAAACAGGATGACCGACTAATTTCAGCAACTATTTTCATTAAGGATACCATTCAAAATTTTTTTCGTAGAGTTTTAATCCAGAAGTTATTTGGAATAAAGTTGCCACTTAGTTTTTTATGTGATTTTTTTCTAATTTTCCTGGAACAGGGCTGTCTAACTTAGAACATAATGTCCTAAATATTATATCGTGGTTATGATTTACGTTTTATGCATAATATATTAATAGAGTTGCCACCTAGTTGAATTGATTCTTTTTATAAAATAATACATAAGAATTGTTTCTAATAGTTTGAATCCAGCAGGATTTTAGAATAGGGTTGCAAGCAAGTATTACCAAAAAAATAAAATTTTTTTTGATAATTTCCGTACAGTTTTAGAAATATTTAAAATTTTTCTTTTTTTTAATGAAGGTGCCACCTCACTAGCACCATAGTTTTTTTTATCATAACTAGTATCCTACAAAAGATAAATTTGCATAGTTTGGCAGTCACTGATCCAGAAATATTTTTGACTAAGGTTGCCACTTAATTGCATTAAGATAATATTAGAATATCAAAATATATAAGAATGGTTTCGAATGGGAATGGGATTTGGGAACAATTTTAAAGATATATAAGACAGCTTTTTGAATGAGATTGCCACCTGTTTATTCCTTCACTCTTTCAATATCAAGCTAACAAATATGTAAGAATCATTTTGAGTGGCTTTAAAGCCGAAGTACATATTTTAGAAGAGAATTGCCGCCTAGTTATTCACATATTTTTACAAAATAAAATTTTGGAGAAAGTCTAGAGATAATTGAGATAGTTTTTAAACAATTTTTGATGAAAAATATTTTTTAAAAGTATTGCTAAGCCCCGAAAATCTAGCTAATGTAACGAGTATAAAAATACATTGATGTTTTTTTACGTTTTGTATGCATTTTGTTAAGTTAAATCTTTTCTTCTTTGACCAAGTGACGGCATAACTACATATGTATGAATTAAGCTAAATACTAACACAAAATTTAAGCTTTAGATATATTTTTTCATAATTTCTTAACATTTACTACGATAATTTGNCTATGTATGTATTTATATTTTTGTAACAGATAATAAAATAAACACGCCCCTGAAGATGCTAAGAAGATTAGCGAAACGTTGGGCCGTAAGTGAAATAACGTCGTTTTATTTACACTAAAAGAACAGATCAGACAAGCCTATCACAAACTAAAAGATTTAAACAAATTTTCATTAAAATTTTCAGCTTTTAAATACAATTTTTTTGAGTATGGAGTTTTGTAAATTTATTGATTTTAGTGAATATTTTAGCGGCTGTAAAATCGGTTTGATTTTTGGGAATTTTTTGTGACAAAAAATTTTACTTTAAAACCTTGCAAATATTTGACAAAAATCACCATGTACTCGTCGCTGCTGCCCACTGTATATATACACATGTCTGCATATCTACATACATACCCAGTGGGAAAAGTAGTAATGCATTACATGCGTGACAAAGAATGTAATGTATTTCTTATGAGTTCTAGATTCTGTTACTATTTAATATCTAATCAGCATACTAATCTATACAAAATGTCCCAAAAAATTCATATTAAATCGCATATATTCTTGAGACATCACCGTGGCGAAAAAATGCCTTTTCGTATGTGGAAACGGCTGTTTTACTGATTATTTTTTCGATTACTCCACATTATATTTTCCCACTGGGTACATATCTATCTACATAAGTACATACTAAATATATACATACTTATAAATATGTTGCAGGTGCGAATACACACATACATATGTATATACATATGTATGTATGTGCGTAGTTCAAATTATCTGTTGTAGACGAAAATTACAATTGACACACTGTGCCAGTTTCATTTGTATCTTTTTTTTATTTTTTTGTAATAATTTTAATTTCAAAAGCCGCACAGAATGTTGAAAAAAATTAGGAACATTTTAGGAAAAGCAAGTAATTACATAAAGATGCTTTTTAATTTCTGAAATTTCAGAGTTTTTAATACTGTTTTTACTTTTTCGAATTTTAGCCAAAGTTTTTGAATTATCATTTTTTTCAACTCTCTTTTTTTAATTACTGATTTTTCAACTTTTGAATTTCTTATGCCGATTTCTTTTCTACCGGAAAATACAACCTTCTCTTTGCCCTCTACGCACAAACAGTAAAAGGAGGGCGATGAGAGGGCAACCTTTTTGTGTAGAAACGAAAATGCCATTAGTTAGATTTTTTTTTAATTTTAATTTTTGGTAATAATTTTTAAAAATTAAATTTTTTGTATCATTTCATTAGAGAAACATTTTCCAGGTTGAATTGGTTTTAATATAAAATTTATTTGCTTATAGATAAATCCACACATACATATGCATCTATGTAAGTACTTGCAGATATGCATGCACTGTTGTAGTACTCTTATGTACATATATGTACATGCGCATCACATTTATAACTGTCAGCTTAGAATTGTGGCCAAGGCCAGAGTCGGCATTGTTTCATTTATGACGAGATTAATTTAATTTTGGCGAAAAACCACTCGGACCACTTGCCATACGCAGCTGTGCGCTGTAACTACAAAACAAAACAAACATTTTATAGTGCGCTGAGACCCCCGCAAACACAAATAAAAATGAAAAACATGAAACCAAAAATTAAAGATTAAAACAGAAAAGACTAACAGATTTTTTTAAGCACCAGCATTTGTTTGAAAATGTGTGAGAAACAAAAAGTTATGGATATAGATTATCAGGAATTTACAAGTTTCTCATAGAAATATACAATTTTCTCATAGAAAGATATATCAATCAGAAAGTTATCAATGTATTAATCGATATCAATATTTAATTATTTGTCGATATCAACATCTACTAATTCTTATCGATATTACTTTGAATTTAGCTATCGAAATATTTATTCATATTCATCCGTACTTTTATTGATTTCATTGTGATCGAAGTCGTCATCGATTATCGTTTTTCAATAACGTCATTAACGTCTCCTTGATTATAAAAATTTTAACAATGTTTCCGCAATACTTAATAAGGTTTTATCGGTAGCAAGATCTATATATTTAACAAAAACTTTCCTGCAATAGAATTTATTGTTGTTGATAGCGTTATCAGTAAGTTTATTGATATATTTAAACGATTCGATTAATGTCTTAGTGTCTGTTGATACAAACGTGCTTTGAAAAAAGTTTTGGACAGGGTTGCCAGATTAAAATTAAAATTTACGGAATATGCAAAATGGTATAGTTTTCGATATGGTATATGAATATTGCAATATTGTTTCGAAATGCAACGTACTCTAGAAGAGCGAACAGTACTAAATTTGCGGGTTTTGAATAGAGTTGCTAGCTAATTAAATAACGAAAATTAATTAAAAATGCTAGTAGACTAGGAAATAAGTTACAAACTAAATATCAGATACAATTTTTTGAATGTTTTGGTAATTAGGGTTGCCCCGTATCTGAATAATATAATTTACTTGATTGTTCATAAACTCATAAAGTCCAAACACACAAAGCCCACCACAAATTTGAGGAGAAGCTCGGTCAAATACTTAGCAAAAGTGTGAGCGCCGATATATTATTAAGTAATTGCTCAAATGGAAAAAATAACAATAACAAAAAATTTTCGGAGCTACATTTTTTCCTAATTGAGTTGCCAACTATTTAAAACCATTTAGTTAAAAATAAAGAGTAATTGCTTAAAATATTGAAATACATTTATTAAATGAAAGGAATTTTTTTATATTTTATTATAAAATGGGATCGTTCCCAAGTCTTGCGAAGTGGGAATACGCACCTCTAAACTTTCAGCCACATCGGCCACTTATTTTAAAACGTGAGTTTACTAAAAAAGGAAGCACTAACTCAAATACGGTTAGTAAGTGGAAAACATTTTTGGGCAGAGTTACCGCATACCAAAAAAATAAAGTTTCTAAAATACTATAAGTTTATATTAAAATAAGCGGGCTTTTGAATACTTTTACTTGGCATATTTGTCCGTAGGGTCTTATATTTTCCTAAACAGAGTTGCCATCTATTTAAAAATGTAAATTTACTAAACATACATATGTAGCACTTAAATTATAAAATTATGAAATGAAATTGAAGAATGTTTCAAATATTG